GGGCGAATGGCACAAGAAGGCCCCCGATGCTGGCGCCGCGTGGCTCGGTCTCGCTGCCGTCCTCGTGGACACGGCGGGGCTCAAGGCCGCCGACAAGACGACGGCGCGCGACGTGCGCGCCGTCGAGTTTCTCGAGCGCCTCGTCGTCGGCATCGGACAGGAACAGGCCTACGGGCGCGACGCGTACCTTGGCGAGCTGTCGCGCGTCAAGGAGGACCTGTCGGGCATGGCGCTGCGGGACGTCTGGCGGAAGGACTACAAAGCAGTGGGACGAGGGCGGCCCGCGTCCTCGGTGTGTCAGCCGTGCCGCAGGGGTTGCGCTACCTCATCGACGAGTCGGCCGCAGGCGACCAGGACGGCCTGCTCAAAGGCGCTGAACGACTGGGTCGACGAGAGGGGCCTCGACGTCGGCGTCGTCATGACGACGCTGCATCCTGGCGGCGACTTTCAGCGGGAGCTCCTCGTGTGGGCCTTTAGCGAGGGCGCCGCCGACGCGGTCGAGGCGTTCGTCAAGACGAACGAGCGAGAGCTCGGTCTCGAGACGTATGACGGCGGCAGACTTGACGATGTCTCTAATGGCTGGTGGCGCCGCGCGTGGAAGCAGCGGAACGTGGCGCACAGCCGGAAGAGGGTTGGGCCTATGCTGCGCGAGGCTTTGAGAGAGAGTCCAAAGCTGTAATGACACCATTTTCTCTCGGTCCGTGGCCATGTTGCTCTGTATGCCTCCCCAATCCAAGAGGCCAAGCGTGTCATGCGCCGTGCTGCTCGGCTCTGTCGTGACGAGTCTGGACTCAGTCACGTCCGCGCACATACCCTCATATGGTGGTGAATGTTGCTGGAGCGAGTTAATGAAGTATGATTCCAATTTCCGATTTCGTTTGGTGATGCCGTCATTTCTTTGTTTTATATATATATTGAATCCACACTGCCGTAGACCAACAAGACAAACGTTACCCCTGTCCATGCTATCGCTTGAAGGACCCAAACTTGTGTGAACATGACATCGGAATGCCAACCTAATCAGGTTGAGACCCCCGAGCCAGGCTGGTAGACAACATTTACATCTCCAAATTATCCCTCAAGATAGCAAAATAGCAAAGAAACACCCCAAGCTGGCATTCATCACGTGTATCACAACCCGGCATTTCAATGTGTAGATGAGTAGATGAGAATCGTCACCTCGAGTACGCCGCTCCTATGCCTATGACAGTTGATGCCGCGCCGGATGCCTCCTAAATCTTACACTGCTATACATGGTCGTACAATATATACATCCCCCTACCTCAGAGGCGCCCCGTCTTCTCGATGCGCTGCCTCGTCGCGTCGAAATCCCGGTACATCTTGACAAACTCGGCATTGGCCTTCCTCTTGACGATCCACTCCTCCTTGCTGGCGTCGTCTCGCGCAGCACGGGCGGCGTCTCGGCCAGCGCCTCGGCGCCCGCGTCGACGACCAGGAGGCACGCCCGCAGCGCCTTCCAGACCTCGCCGACCGGCAGCACCGGCGGCGCCTCGTGCATCATCTCGGGCGCGCAGTGCCGCAGCACCTCGATGCACCAGTCCCGGCGCTTGAGCATGGCGGCGCGCTCAAACATGTACCGGTAGAGGAGGGGCCCGCGCGGGGCGCCGTGGCGCGGCGGGGTGCGCCACGTCTGCCAGAAGCGGTCGAGATTCTTCTGGCGGTGGTACGCCTCGAGCAGGCGGAGAAGGTGCACCTCGCTAGGGCAGGCCGTGACGGCGTGCGTGAGGAGGTACTCGACGTTGGTCTGGATCTGGCGGACGCGGTCTCCCCTGCGCGCCCGACTTGACGATC